TGCCCGAGACCATAGTTGGTGGGTGCTCCCTCTTGGTTCTTGTCTCGACCCTCAGTCCAAAAACCACGACAGATCTGTTGGAGCGTGTTCAGAGGAGGGCCACAAAGACGATCCAGGGGCTGGAGCACCTCTGCTACGAGGACAGGTTGCGGGAGCTGGGATTGTTCAGCCTTGAAAAGAGAAGACTTCGGGGGGACCTAATAGCTGCCTTCCAATACCTGAAGGGAACTTACAGGAAGGCTGGGGAGGGACTTTTTACAAGAGTGTCCACTGATAGGACAAGGGGAAATGGGTTTAAGTTGAAGGAGAACAGATTTAGATTAGATCTTAGGAAGAAATTCTTCAGTATGAGGCTGGTAAGACTTTGGAATAAATTGCCCAGAGAAGCTGTGGATGCCCCCTCCCTGGAGGTGTTCAAGGCCAGGTTGGACGGAGCCTTGAGTAGCCTGGTCTAGTTGAGAGGCGTCCCTGGCCATGACAGGGAGGTTGGATTAGATGATCTCTGAGGTCCCTTCCAGCCTATGCCATTCTGTGATTCTATGATTCTATGATTTCACATTCTTGCTCTTATTTTAACTTTTTACTTCCAGTTTGTGGACATTGATAATTCTGGGGTAAGTCCTTGAACCGTGTTATGTGAAAGTAGGCAAAAAAATGTTTATCAAGTACTGTGGCATTTTTATTCCAGCTCATTTGACCCATCAAACTTGATGCATGTGTCATCTCAGGAAACTTCAGATGCCTATGGAACAGACACACCAGATCTACAGTTCTGCTGGTTACCTAGAGTCCAGTGAAAATTATTGAGAGAACTTCTAGGATGCAATTCATGTTATCCTAAGCTGTATATCAGATAAATCACAGGTTACAGGCACTTGTTTCCACTGCTTAAGAAGGGGATTTGGGAGGTTAGCTCTGGGTAGGCTATATCTAGGACAGATGTCTAAAATTAGACAAGAGTCTCCTCACTTCTAAGACTTTTATGTCTTAGCATTCTTTTGAATTCTTTCTTACTTCAAGGGCCCTTGTGTTCAGCAATGTAATTTTTTTTTTTTTTTGGCAAACACCAATAGCTGATTCAGCACAAAACCTGTAAATTTAAAACAGTGCAACTGCAGCTCACATTAAAAGAAAATTATGTGCCCTTTAGGCATGTGAGCAGCCTAAAAAAAAAATAAAGGATCTGTAGCTGCATGTCTTTCTCCTATGATTTCAACAATTAAATCTGCAGGCCTAGTTTTGTCCTTATTTGTAAAAGTTAGTATTATTAAAGAATCTACATAGATTAAAATATGGCTGAATGAGGCTCACAGAAAATATCTCTTAATGAACTTAACTCATAATATTTCTTTTTATTGTCATAATATTGTTTATATGCAACATATATCCACAGGTATTTAGACAGTTAGGCAGAGATGGACAAATGAAATAGAAAACTTCAGATTAACTAATAGATTTTCCCGGAAGAAAAAAATATTACTTCAGAAATACAAGTGGAGAAACCTTGTTCTCAATATGAGAAAAAACCACAGAATTATAGAAAAGTGTGACCCATATAAAAGGTCACCTAATCCTTCTTTTCCTTCAGGCAGGATAAACTAAAGCTACATCGCTTTTTTACAGATGTTTCATTAATCTCTTCTTTAAAGCTTCCACAGACAGGCATTCAAAAATTTCTGTGGCAATTTATCCTTTGTGCTTAACTATTCTTAGCAGAAAATTCTTTCCCTGTAAATCTTCTTTGCAGTAATTTTAGCACGTTGTCCTACTACAGCAGAAATGGAGAACGGTTTGGTTCTGTCTTCTTGGCAGTACATTTTAGGTATTTGAAAATTGTTTAGCTATATAACTTTCTTCTACTTTCTAGATTAAAATACAGGTGTTCTTTAAAAATATCTTGATAGATCACAGGTGTTCACCTTTGTCACTCTCACTGCTTTTCACTGCTGTTTCTTAACTGTTCCACATTTTTAAAATGAAATATTCAAAACCAATGAAGAATTTCTGTTGGTATCTAGAAAGTGCAAAATGGAGCAGAAGGATTATTCAGCTTATTTTAAGACGTGATCCACTTGTTTTTACAAGGCCAGACAATATTGATTCCTGTTTAGCTGTGATGTCCTCTGATTCGCTGATCTTTTTCTGATGAAATTATCCAGTCATTCCATATATTGCTTTTGGGGAGCTGTGAAGAGTTAGGCTGTTGCTGAGGTACAGACACAAGCATAATTGCGAACACAGCAAAAGACCACTTGTTTGAGGGAATAAGTTCTAGTGAGGAGCAAGAAAATTTTGGACTAAGTGAATATTTGACTTTGCAGTTAAGATATAGTCATTCAAACAACAATAGAAGCCCAGTGCTACAACAGAAAATAGATGAAGCTCCAGCAGGTACTGCAGGAACTGGTTACTTCTCACTAGTTGTGAACTACCTCCCTGAGTGAGGTAGATGCATGCATGTTTCTTGACACCAGAGCAATTGAATTAGAGATACAACAAAAGTTTAGAGTCCCTGCAAGATGATAACTATATATTTCCTTGCACTGAGAATTCTTTTCATGGTTGATGATTCTTACCAATAGAAAGTCTTTTTTTTAAAAAAAAGAAAAAAGAAAACAGGAAAAAAGAAAAGAAGGTAAGGTTAACCAAGAAAAGATATAAAGAACAAGAATAATCTGGACATCTCATAAAGAGACAGTGAATAAATACCAGGGCTCTCCAACTTGGAAAACAGGTAACTGCATGGAAAATATGATGGGCATGAAACACTGCGAGTGAATGAATTGAGTAACATTAATTTTTGTCTCTCACAGTAAAAGAAGCAAGAGATATCAGAGAATATTATCTGACATCAAGTTTAAAGTAAACATAAGGAAGTCTTTTTTAATATATGATTAGTTCCTTTCCTCGAAGGTGGAATATTTAAAAAAAGAATTTGAAAAATCTGTGTAGAAAAAAATCATAGTTTAACAAGATGCAGAGACAGATTCTGTTTCAAACTGCATAGCAGATTAACAGAACCTGGGAGCATATAATACAAGGAGTCTCTCCATATTTGGTCCCATTCTTATAATTTCTTTTAAGCATGTACTCCAGGGTCCTGTCATAGATGAGATATTGAACTAGATAAGCCCTTATTTGGGCTCACCATTTGCATATCCTGCAAATACTTCAAAAAAGTACATCTGAGGAACACTGATCCAGGCTCTAACCCCATTTTCCACTGATTTTTAACTTCTCTGTCTCTCACATCTCTCTACTTCCCCATCCTGTAAATTCCTGTAAATTCCTGTTAGTCCTAGCACTGACAGACTGTTCTGATAAGTTGCTGCAGGTCCCCAAACTTTGATCTACCCATTTAGATTGGGAATCACTCTAAGAGTAATAGAGTCCCTAGTAGAGTTTTTTCCATACTGTTGCAACTCAAACAATGACATCTTGTCATATTCACTAAATGCAGAAGAGTAGAAGTCCCACAGACGAACGTGTATCAATGATAGTGAATCACTAACAGAGACATTGGATGGTTCATGTTTAATAAAGCCTTCTGCTTTATTCATAGTGAGAAGGTTGAACCTTTATCCATAATGAGAAGCAGAAATCATTGACATTTGAAACTTTTTTCAGGTCAAAATCAGGGAAAAGAACTGAACAAAATCAATTTTCTTCTTCTGTTTTCAGCTTTTCCCTAATCCCTGAGGCAACAATGGCAAAAAACAGCTCAGGAAAGAAGGTGCGAATGTAAACTGCTGCTCTGGGGATAGGGTTTGCCATAAGTACTTCCTGCTTCTTACCGCTCACTGTGCGCAAGACTTCCTCTGCCACCTCCACTGGATGCACACCATATGCCACCTTTCTGAAAAAGACTGTAACACAGAAAGGAGTGAGAGCTGCAGGCAGATAGACAGACGAATCTGAGCGAATGGTAGTGAAAACATACACAGGTAGTTCATCAGTCAAATTAGTTAAATTCCTACATGCTTTCAATCCCTTATCCCTTCCCTTCTCCTCATCAGTATGTCCTTGAGAACTTTTTATAATTTTGAAGTAAAATCCTCACAGTCCTTAAGAGAAGGAGCAACTTGAGTGTAGTGATACTATCCCTTGGGACCTCTCATGCTCTGCTCAACCTCGATTCCCCTTGCCCTGGTGTCATTCAAACAACAATAGGAAGGAACATGTTGTCTCTCTCCATGTTCCTTCTCTTTTCACCAGGCTCATCTGATCTCTCCAATCTCTTTTTTCTTTTGCTCCTCTAACCTGTTGATCCTTTCTGTCATTTTCATTCTTTTTCCTATGCTCCTTTCTTCTCCCTGGGAAAAGCCTCCATACTGCTATATGGGCCTCATCTACTGTCTGTCTTGATGCATCGAACCTTACATTTCCAAATAGATGCCTCCCAGTTGCCGGGTGCTGGTTGGTGATGGTATGAACAGATGAATGTTGGATTCACAGTGCTGACAGAAATATCAAACTCTTCCATTTCAGCTCTAAGACAATCAAAAAAGCCCACAGCAGCATGCTTAGAAGCAGCATCTAAAAGAAAGAAAAAACCCCACATATATATGTTTGGATATATGAATGCATGGACATAGATCTATGATAGAGCACCATAAAACATGATTGTTTGGATAACTGAGCACGGAATGACCAGCCAAAAGGAAACAGAACAGTGAATTATTTCACCCAGTGAAATTACCATATGACATATTTAAAATAAACAAAAGAAAATTATTTGTACAGGATAATTATGCATGAGGTATGCAGTCAGTCTCCCTATACCTGTCATAGAACATATGTCTGAATTTCCCGATCAGAAATATTAAGTCCTGGGTTAAAGAGCAATGCTTCTATTGTCTCTAGAGTTTAAAAATGTCTTTGATGGATGGACAGCTGTCCCTGAGATGAGTCTCCACACCATTTGTTGCTGCAGTTTGTGATACATCAATAAAATGCAGTGAAATACAGGTCCGTTTCTGGAATGCAGGAGTACTAATGTTTTGTAAACTAATTAGGTCTTTGCCCTGCAGCAGTAATCCAAGATTCTTTTAATATTAAAGTTAATTCTAAAGTAACTGAATGTTAAGAACTTTTTTAACTACTCTTAGTTCCTTTCTATTGAGAATGGTCTTAAACAAGGATGTGAATGTGTATGTGAACCTTGACCAAAAACCAGAACTATGTGTTAAGTGCAGCAGAGCTGCAAAGCACTTGTCCACTTTGTATTTGACTCAGTTTGCAGTGAAAATCCACTTATGCATAACATAATCTAAAAAATGGTAGGTGGGCTCCAGGAATGGAAAGAAGTTTTTCCATTCATTTGTTTTGAAATTCCGCCTTTTGGCAGATTAATATCAAGGAACATAGATATTGGTAGAGGCATTGTAAAAACCACCTCTGTTCGCTCTTCTGCTACTCATTATTTTATACACATGTAATGTATCTTGACATAATCAGCTATTTCCTAGATAGAAACCATTCCAGATGTCCCATCAATGTGTTGTGTCTTTTCTGAGACTTTTTTGTAGTTCTTATACTTCTTTTGAGATGGGGGACCAGAATTGTGCACAATGTTCAAGATGTGGCCCTGCATAGATTTATACAAAGGCATAAAGATAGGATTTACTTTTTTTCGCCACTACTTTCCTTATGGTTTCTGTCACTGTATTGTATTTTCCTTTCCTGGAACCAGAAGTCACAATCCTGAGATCTCACAGACCTTTTAATTCAGAGCCCATCATCCACTCTGACCTTCTGTCATAGTTAAAAATGTCTGTTTACATCTAGTCTATATTTTCTGCTCACTAACTTTGTATTTCATTAATGCAAAGATCTTTCATCATAATTCAGGACAGTTTGGTTTCATTAGGAGCTTTGGATGAAAGACCTTGAAAATTTTGTGGAAAGTCAAGCAGAATACAATTACTACATCTCCTTTTAAACTCCTGCCCATAAATCCATTAAGTGCATGAGTGTCCCTTTACAAAGCACTAGCTAGTGTCTACCAGTATGTTATATTTATACACTACTTCATTCTTCATTATGGTTTCTACTAACATGCCCAGCACAGGTGTTGGACGTACAAGTTTGCTGTTTTCTGAACATCTCCTAAGATCACAAAAAAACCTTACTGTCACATTTGATATCCTCTTGTCCTCAAGTACCTTAGAGAGTACTTACACTTCAGTTATACTTAAAAGAGAGTAATTTAACTCTTCTTTTTTTGAGTTTCACTTCTTTGAAAATTTTTCAGCCAAATATTGTGGTTTATTGAATTAGGATGCAAATTAGCACTTTTAATAATCCATTATCACTGCAATGGAACACTCATGATTTATGCATTAGAATGTACATTTTTGCTGTATATCACTTACAAGCTGCACGAAATGGGATTCCTATTTTTCCTTGGATACTATTAATTAGAACAATGTGGCCAGTTCTTCTTGAGATCATGCTGGGAAGAATGGCTGAAAAAAATAAAAATAAAGAAAAAAAAGAGCCACATAATTAAATGAGGTTAATGTATTTAGTGAAAAGAAGTGACAGCGGAAGTGTAGGTAGCACAACTCTAATGAAGGTTGTCTCAATACTGCAATCAAAAATATCACAAATTCCAGTAGCTGGAAATTGAGCATCTTCTAAACTTCACTTGATTCTACATGCAGATTCGGGTGCAGTATTATCAAATTTAATTCTCAGCTTATCTCTCTTCTTGCAAAAGTTCTAAAAAAAATGTCTTTGTAACAAAGGCAGTAAGCATGTAAATAAAGGAGTCACCATATGCAAAATAGAATAAGCAGACAAAAAAATGTCTTTGTAACAAAGGCAGTAAGCGTGTAAATAAAGGAGTCACCATAGGCAAAATAGAACAAGCAGACTTTTTAAAAAAAAGTCTGTCTTTCAAACACCTGCTTATACATTTCTTGATCAGTCTATTTCCAAATCCAGGCACTTCAATTTTGATCTTCTTTACCTCAATTTCAGTCCATCGATTTTCACAGAATTGTTTTTGATTACAGTGAAGAAGGAAAAAATAAGTGCAAATTTCATTTGTAATGCCAATGACTTGGATCTTGAGCTTTAAACGGCAACAGTAAAACAGGAAAAAAAAAGTAAAATACCTTTGGTTAATGTTATAGGTCCAAAATAGTTGGCATCCATTATCTTTTTATCAAGTTCCAATGAAATGCTCTGCACTGCTCCTTTCACCTTCATACTTGCATTGTTGATCAGTATATCCACACAGCCATAGCAATTCAGGATTTCCCTAGCTACATCTTGAATGCAGTTTATGTCTGAGATGTCCAGAAGTAAGAGCTTTGGTGCATATGTCTAATAAAGAAAAGACTTATTTTAAGGATATCTGTTATTATAAAAATGTATTTATACTTACTTGTCTCGTAAATTAATTTACTTTGTTATCTGAAGAAAGTGCTTTTATCATTCTTACAAAAACTTTGATTTGTTCTTTCAACCCACTCTAGAAGGAAGGTGGTTAGCAATGGGTATTTCGTAGACTCTGAAATCCAGATGAAGCAGAACACCATGGGAAGGATAAACTGGACTAGCTACACCCTATTGAGTTCTTTCTTTCTTGTAATGGGTGGAGACAGATAGTAGACACAGGGACTGACTCCTACCACTCCAAGGTATGGTTTTTCCATAAGCAGCCCTCTGGAGAACTTTGGTGACCACAGAATCTAGGATATAGTGCTTTGATAGATAATTTACATACATATGAGGGGCAGTTGCAAGGTAGGAATGGTTTCTTCAGCTATAGGTTATCCAAATAGAGTTTACATTTGTACGATTTCTGTAAAAATGTAGACTTCATCAGCTATGGGACAGAGGAATGAAATCTGAATATCTTCTCTTACTATATTACTAAGACGATGTAATGCAGATCCCTTATTATTTTTTCCTAGTTGAGTCTGCACAGACTAACTTGAACACACTACTTTTATTGGTTATTTATGCAGATGAATGAAGCTCACCGAAAACAAAAAAGGTCAAATGCAAATATTTATTGGTCTGGTGAGCAATGGCTGTAGAATTTGTGTGATGTCTTCAAGAACACCTGTCCACTGAAATGAATCAGCTATCTGTTGGTGTCAGAGGGAAAGCTTTTCCATGAGCATCAAAGAAACACCTTCCAAAGAACTGGTAGCAGGGGCAGCCTTGCATGTCTATTTACATGGTGATCCAGTGATAAGATAATGAGGAAAGGGCACTCATTCATATTATCCTACACCCTTCTAGCTGGGACTTCTTCTGAAGTAGTGAAGAAACTCACAATTAATTCAATATTTAGACCTGTCTCTCACTCCTTGAGCACTCTAATTATGTGAAAAATGGACGATCGTTCCTTTGATTAAATGAAGCACTTTGAATCCCTTTCATCCAAATTGACAGGCAAATTCCTCTGCCTAGCATTTCTAGATGGATGGCTTGTTCAAAATGCAGGACCACTCAGTTGCTCTACAGTAATTGCCTTGAATTAGCCCAAGAGAGCAGGATTTCTGATTTATACTTCTGGCATCATGCTGAAGACCTTCAGAGGTGTCTCTCTCTCTCTCTCTGAACTATGTTGACTATGTTACCTTGGTGACCAAAATCAACACTAGCAGTGAATCATGTTTTGAATCATGTTTCACATACCTTGTTTTACTGGATTTAAAAGCTCTTTGTGTACCTGAGCCAGGTGTTTACTTCAAATTGTGAATTTTCAAAGCAGAGTGAGGGAATACTTACCATACTGGGATTTCCCACACTAATTAAAGCATCATACAAGGCTTCTAACTCTTCCCATGTCCTGCCACACAGCACAAGCCTTGCTCCTCCTGTGTGAAACACTCGAGAACATTCTAGGAGAAAAATATATTCAAAAAGCAGTAATAATAACAATTTGATTTTGTTTATTTTGCTTGAAATGAGATGCTGTTTTTGCTAATGATGAATCTATGCTTTAAAATTCATTAATTTTTAAATAATAAATATATATGAGAAAAAAGGAAGCACTAAAAGGCAATAATATATATGTGAGTAATAAATTACAATTTAATGTAATGGTATAATTCACAATTAATAGCACTGTTTAGTCATGGGATTTAATGCAAATTTAATTAAGAAAAGAACAATATGCTCATTAATGGATGATGGGTTTGAGTTAGAAAAATTGTTCTGATTATCTTCCTCTCTTAACTCCCTCCACCTACAGACACACTTGCTGCAAAGAAAAATATATACAAAAATACACGCTTAAGGTTGTTACAATACAAACAGCATCTTTTTGAGAATATATTCCTCACTCTTGTGTCAGTTTGACCAAAGACGTGTTTAAAAACATGGAGCATAGATTTTTCAAGGGAATCTTTTAGGAATTCATTGATAGTTGTATCCCTCTGGCTGTTATAGGCTGCTACAGGGTGCATGTTCTAGCTCAGCTGAACAGAAACTGTGGCTCTCAGTCCAGGAATCTGACAAGGTTGTTGCCCTGACAAGGAAAAGTACACAATTGCCCGCCTTTTCTTTCTTGGAATAGATAATGTCTTGCAGATAGACCTGAGGACGCGGATGTGCCCACTGCACCCAGACAATTAGTTGACAGTGCGTTATGTATGCTGGTAGAATTGGAAATCAGGAGTTATTTTTCCTGTCATGTTTTTTTTCCTAATCAGTTCTTCCAAAAAGCTCTCAGCCTTGGAGCCCTCATATTTGTATTTGGTCCCTAAATCAAATCTGTATGACAGTTACATATTCAGCATGGGAAGAATGGGAATATGGTCTTATAATTACTCTTATGCCTTTCCAGCCTGTTTGATTTATCTTAGCTCCTATGGCCTTTGTTGAATGGGTAACAGTACAACCCCAGTGCTATAGCTGTCTGTCTTTCAAAAAACATTTTCTTCAGATTTCAATACCTACAGGCAAATCTAGTTATGCTAATATGCCCATCTTAGATTTCTTAAACACTCATGTTAGATGCTTCGTATCCGTTTGGAAGCAGTTCTGGATCCGCTCTTTTTTTGTAAATCTGTGCAGCTGGAGACTTTTATTTATGTATTCTTTTTCATTATTTACAACAGTAATTTTATGAATGTCTTTAATTTTCTTTTTTTCTAGCACAGAAATATTTTTGATTTAAAACCCAAAAAATAATTTGTCAGTACTAGGACCAGTATTTTTCCTACAAACATAACAGTTGGGGCAACCTTGTGAATAAAATATGACTACTATATGAATAGTAATAATAGGGAAAAGGGGAACCAATGATGTTCTCCTCTAGAACTATCCTGGACTTTTCTGAGTTATAGCACCAAGAAGAAACAGGAATCAGGTTTAAATAACAACCACAAACCATTGCAAACATCTTCATTCATCATAGTTTTTGTTCCTCTTTTCTAACTTTGATGAATGCAATCTTTAGTCAGGAAATTCTGGCATGTGGGAAAAAGAATTTTGCTGTTGCCTAAGAGCTCAAATATGTAGCAGCTGGCCAGTCAGCTGGTATTTTAAAGCATATGCATGAGTGGACTGCACAGTAAGTTCTGCATCATTTGGAATCACTCAAGCCTGCAAATAACTTCTTGATAACACCCTATGGGATAGTGGCAGTAGATATGTTTAGGATAATAAAATTGTTTTGAGTTACCTCCTTTTTCATCTATGTGAAAAAGGGTGCAGAGAGCAAGGGAGGCAATTGCCTTTTTACCCTCAAGGGACAGGCAGAAGTTAGGAAAATCTTCCCCAGGGGTCATGCAGTGCTGGAGCAAGATATTCGAAGAAATGTTCAATTAATGTTCTTTATCCTTGGAGGTTTCCAAGATTTGGCTTGAAGCCACACCCAATCAGATCTAGCACTGGTAATGTGCCTGCTCCAAGAAGGACTTTTTTCTAGAAATCTCCAGGCACGTTACGATTCTACAAGGCACCCAGTCTCAGCTGGAGAACTCTAAATGATGTGTATCCGAACAAAAATACTGAAATACAACCAACAAAAGAAAATGCATGCTAATATTATCTTCAACTTAAACTGGAGCATGTTAGGGAAAAGGAAAGACCAGATGGGATCTGGAGGTCAGAATTATTTCATACCTTGTCCTAACAGACTCTGACAAAGAGCAATCCCTGCCAGCATAGTGTGCATTTCTGTTGCAGGTCTCTGATCTGCTAAAGAATAATTCTGCAACAACATTTCCTTTCCCCATCTGTTTTCTGCTTGTGAGTGGAAGGTTTCCAACATACAGTAAGTCTTAACTGAAAATGCCAAAACGTACCCTCAAGCTATAGTTACCTTGTCAAACACTTGCATCTACTGCCCCTCAAGTGATGCCTCGAGCAGGACTGTACAAAAGCAATATATGACTCTGTACCTTTAATCTGGCAGCACCGTGTAGGCAGGAGAAATGAGCCAAGAAGAAATATATGCCAAGTGGATGGCCACCCAGGCAAATAGGTTATATAAATAGATGATTTATCACATACCCTTTCCTTTCATGCACTGAACCCACCATTACACATAGCCAGGCAATCCAGTTGGAGGTACTGGAGGATGTCAAGAGAGGAGGAGTAACATGAGTGTTAGAGGGGGCAGAGATGTGAACAGGGACAGACAAGTGTGCACTGTCATTTACTGGGAGCAGGAAATGATGAAGTCTTTAAGGGCTGAAAAGGAACATGTGGAGAGTAAGGTGACACCTGTTCATACTGATTTGCTGCTACCCTGCAGTGACAGCCTATGTAATAAGATCTCAAAGTAGCAAATGCTAAAAATAGCATTCTTAACTTGTTTACAAAACCTCTCATTCTATGGAACTAAATAAATACAAAGCTCTGCAGTTGCTAAAAGTTTACCAGCAGTTCCTGTGGCTGAGACTAAAAATGTACATTTAAAAATCATAGGATTTGTTTAAAAATAGATTTCTTAACTTCTGTTTCATCCAGGCAGTTATGAACACATACAAGGTAAAGCAGGCACATTTTATCACCTGGAGAGTGGTTCTCTGGCTGTGTCTGTTCTCTGACACTGAGAAGAAATGAGACAACTCACCCTTGCCCAGTCCAGAGATGGCATCCGTGATCACCACCACTTTGTTTTGCACAGCTGACTTGGACAATAGCCACTTGACTGACTGATAAATATAAATAATTCCACTGATCCCTAAAAGAAGCAATAGTAGAGCAGGTACTGCAAGAATACCCATCTCTGTGGGAAACAAAAGACCATATGAGAGCAACAGTAATCACAACATGCATTCATTATTTTTCAAATTATTCTTATCTAAAAAAGCAATGTTTTCATATACAGAAAATCCGGTAACCAACATGTCAAAGGCTTGAAGCAGTGCAAAGCTTATTTTCAAATCAATGGCTTAATATTACTGTTTAATAAACAGACTAGTATTGATTGTTTGACTCTCTTCCTCATCATTGCAATGTTTAACCAAACCTGGATTCCTTTTATTCAAAATTACTGTGTTGGCAAAAACATAATAGAATTTTAGTACAAATATTGCCTTGAGGCAAAACATAGGCTAAAATACAGCAATGAATTTTTAATGATATAGCTATTATAGGAAAAGAGATAAAGGGTTTTTAATCCTAATTGCAGATAAAACACATAATAGAAGTGTTTTCTGTTCTAAAAGGTAGAGAAAATAGAATCACTTACTATGGCTATGAAGACTCCAGATACAAATGAAGCATTTTGTATTTTTGTAGAGTTTTGTATTATAGGTTTAATTACAGTCCTTTAGCAATTTCATAGAGCATTGCATTTGTTGAGGCTACTTGCCCTGAATGCGATGGCTATGAATAGCCATGTGACAGAGACGCTTTAAAAGTAAATATAGCATCTACAGTGTGATTTGCATGCCTGACCTATCTCGTCCAACAGGCTGGACAGACATGTAAAAGCTCTTAGTACAGTATGAGTTCAACCGTACAAAAAAACATATACCTTTCTGTCTTGCCTTCAGTTGTAGTTGTTCATAGGATTCTCTCCATTTCTTGTCATTGGGTTTCAATTCACTTTACACATAAAAACATTTGTATAAACTCCATGATAATGATAGGCCTTCAAAAAAGGACAACAGATACCATAGAATCATAGAATCATAGAATGGTTTGAGTAGGAAGGAACCTCAAAGATCATCTAGTTCCAACTCCCCTGCCATGGACAGGGACACCTTCTACTACATCAGGGGTCCTTGAGCTCTTCCAGGGATGGGGCAGCCATAACTTCTCTGGACAACCTGTTCCAGTGCCTCAACACTCTCACAGTGGAGAATTTCTTCCTTAGATCTAATCTAAATCTACCCACTTTTGGTTTAAAACCATTGCCCTTTGTCCTGTCGCTACATACCCTTCTAAAAAGTCCCTCTCCAGCTTTCTTGTAGGGCCCCTTTAGGTACTGGAAGGCTGCTATACAGTCTCCTCGAAGTCTTCTCTTCTCCAGGCTGAACAGCCCCAACTCTCTCAGCCTGTCTTCATAGCAGAGGGGCTCCAGCCCTCCGATCATCTTCGTGGCCCTCCTCTGGACTATCTCCAACAACTCCATGTCCTTCTTGTGTTGGGGACTCCAGAGCTGAACACAGTATTCCAGGTGGGATCTCACAAGAGCAGAGTAGAGGGGCAGAATCCCCTCCCTTGACCTGATGGCCACACTTGTTTTGATGCAGTCCAGGATACGGTTGGCTTTCTGGGCTGCAAGCGCACATTGTTTAGCTTCTCATCCACCAGCACTCCCAAGACCTTTTCCTCAGGGCTGCTCTCAATCCATTCTCTTCCCAGCCTGTACTTGTGCTTGGGATTGCCCCGACCCACATGCAGGACCTTGCATTTGAACATCATGGTTCACACAGGCCCACCTCTCCAGCCTGTCCAGCCTGTCAAGGTCCCTCTGGATGGCATCCCTTCCCTCCAGCATGAGACCACACCACACAGCTTGGTGTTGTCAGCAAACTTGCTGAGAGTGCACTCAATCCCACTGTCCGTGTCCCTGACAAAGATGTTAAACAGCCCCTACTGACCCCGATACTGACCACTCATCACTCGTCTCTGCTTGGACATCAAGCTGTTGACTGCAACTCTTTGTACATGATCATTCAGCTGTTTCCTCATCCACCAAGTGGACCATCTGTCCATTCTATGTCCCTCCAATTTAGAGACAAGGATGTCATGCAGGACAGTGTCAAATGCTTTGCACAAATCTATGCAGAGGATGTCAGGTGCTTTTCTGTTATCCACCAACACTGTAACCCTGTTGTAGAAGGCCACCAAATTAGTCAGGCAGGATTTGCCCTTAGAGAAGTCATGTTGCCTGTCACCAATCACCTCTTTTTTTCCCATGGGCTTAGCATTGTTTCCAGGAACACATCTTCCATGATCTTGCCAGGCACAGAGGTGAGACTGACTGGCCTGTAGTTCCCTGAGTCTTCCCTTTTTCCCTTTTTAAAAAAGGGGCATATGTTTCCCCTTTTCCAGTCAGTGGGAACTTCACCAGACTGCCACAACTTTTGCCTGTCACCAATCACCTCTTTTTTTCCCATGGGCTTAGCATTGTTTCCAGGAACACATCTTCCATGATCTTGCCAGGCACAGAGGTGAGACTGACTGGCCTGTAGTTCCCTGGGTTTTCCCTTTTTCCCTTTTTAAAAAAGGGGCATATGTTTCCCCTTTTCCAGTCAGTGGGAACTTCACCAGACTGCCACAACTTTTCAAATATGATAGATAGTGGCTGAGCAACTTCATCTGCCTGTTCCCTCAGGACCTGCAGATGCATCTCATTAGGTCTCATGGACTTGTGCATCTTTAGATTCCTTAGATGGTCTCAAACTTGATTTCCTCCTACAGTGGACAGTTCTTCATTCTCCCAGTCCCTGCCTTTGCCTTCTGTGACTTGGGTGGTGTGGCTAGAGCACTCGCCAGTGAAGACTGGGGCAAAAAAGTCATTGAGTACCTCAGCCTTCTCCATATCCCAGGTAACCAGGTCCCTCATTTCCTTCCAGACAGGGCCCACATTTTCCCTAGTCCTCCTTTTATCACTGACACACCTACAGAAGTTTTTCTTGTCACCCTTGATGTCCCTGGCCAGATTTAACTCTATCAGGACTTTAGCTTTCCTAATCTGGTCCCTGGCTACTTGGACAATTTCTCTACTGTATTTCTCCGAGGCTACCTGTCCTTACTTCCACCCTCTGTAGGCTTCCTTTTGTGACTGAGTTGGCTCAGGAACTCCTTGTTCATCCATGCAGGCCTCCTGGTATTTTTTCCTGACTTTCTCTTTGTTAGGATGCACTGCTCCTGAGCTTGGAGGAGGTGATCGTTGAATATTAACCAGCTTTCTTGGGCCACTTTTCCCTCCAAGACTTTATCCCATGGTACTCTACCAAGCAGATCCCTGAAGAGGCCAAAGTCTGCTAGAAATAATCACTGTTCAGCAATATGGATGATGTACGTATGTGTCAGGAAAATGTCTTTGAGCAAGCTGGCTTGGGAGTCAGTGCATCACACAGAGCTGCTGTGGGCAGCTGAGTGCTGGAACACAGACCAGGCTGGCATACTGCACTTCCAGATGCTGCAAATTGCTTTCCACTCTTTGTATCTGCAAGGCAGATGCACCTCTTTCCCAGCAATTTCAGGACCATATCAACTTTAGGTAAGTGATGCAAGTTTACATATCCTGTAGAGAGACGTTATCCATTAACCTGACATTCACAGTTATAGGTTGTCCTTTGTGGTTCTAGGGAAATTAGTGGTTTACCATAAATCATTCCTGCATTGCTGTTTCAAAAAATTGTATCACAGTCTTAAAATTGTAAATTTTGACAACCAGATTCAATACTCCTGTTCGTGCTGTGTAACTGGCAATCTAAATTCTATGTTCTAATTTTCATCTCCAGTGAGAGAATGACAAGTCTACAAATGACAGAGAGTCATTGATACTGGAGTGTTGTAACAAAGAACAGACTTCAGTGTTAGGTCTACAGGTACCAGGACAGTGTTAGCTTTCAATGAATGGGAAAGGATAGAAAATTATTCAAGAAGATGTAGGAGAGAACTTTTAGACGTAGTTTGTAAATCTAACTTCCTCTAGAAGCTAATGACATTGGGAATCAAGATGCATATTCCAGCCTGTGAAAATGAACTTACCTGCTAAAGAAACCATGATTTAAGATTTCCAAACCACAGACTCATATAATGTGCCAACGTTTAAAACGTGTGCACTTCTAGCTAAAAAGACTCCAAAGTGAATGACAGATATGAATAAATATCTGTTTTCCAATGCAAAATGGTCATGGTGTCCAGAAATTTACATCAGTTTCTACGGGAGAATGTAAAAACATGAAGTCAAATGAACTGAGAAGTCATGCCAAATCACCTGCAGAGGCAGAGAGGAAATCTGATTTTCTGTCACTGCTAAAGCTCCATCTATCTTCACTTACTTTCAAAGCATCAGCTTTAAATAAACAGATATGCATTTCCCTATCAGTAAGTCAACTGGTTTGTTCCTTTTATGGAACAGGATGCGTTGTTCATTTAATTTATTCAGAGTCCTGGAAATATTTTCTTTTGAAGATGAAACATAAAAAAAAAAAAAAAGTGCACAGCAAAGAGAGAGGATTTATAGAGGTTCCAAGTGATTTATTTGCTTTGTTCCCAAATGAATCAGAGCAATTATACAAGTAATGTAAAAGCAAGAATAGGAAAAAGTTGATTGAAAGACCTAGAGAACCAACAATGTGTAAGATTGTAATAATAAGATGCTAATATCTCTATTAATAATAACGAGCAATTGTAAAGACTGCCCGAGTCATCCGGAAAAATGCAGACATACCATAATAACCAAAACAAACAACTCTCAGTCGGATGGAGTACCGAGCAATGTATTCTGCACTGCCACCTACTGAGCACCTCTGGAAACAGCAGAGAGACAAAAATCGTTCTAAATCGTTTCAGAGCACAGATCCCATGAAAAGGGTAAGTCATCTACTGGGAAACCGGAACAAAAGCGAGGCCCTCGCTCTCCCCTACCTAGCTCTGAACATCTCTACATCCACAACCCATTTGTCCGGAGCTGAGCTCCAGGAACTCTTCCAGAGCTGAACAATGTGTGTCCAAACCTGAAACTTGAAGGAGATCTGAATTCCCTGAAGTGCTTGACCCAGGAGGCTGTCTGAGAGCATGTAATTAACAGAGTATTCC